ATTTTCTAGTTTAGGAACTATATTATAAATTACTATATTTAAGTATTCTTATCTAAGTCTAGATATATCTAGGTTATTAGTAATATTAAAATAATATTTCTTCTTTTTATATTAATAAAATATTACTACTTTCTTATATATCTTATTATATTTATAGGTAGAAATATTTATAGATTTAAAGTTTATATTTTTAAGAATATGATTTCTTACTAGAATAAATAATTCCCTTATAAATTCTTAATATTAAGTAATTTTATTTATCTTTTTTCTCTTTAGTAACTTTTTTAATACTTTATTAAATATATTAATATAAGACTTGGATAAGATTCCTCTATTCTAGGCTTATATAATAATCTAATTAGGAAAGTTATAGCTAATTTTGAATATTTCCTAGTTATATTCTCGGAATTCCTTTAATAAGGCCTTAAAGAACTTAGTTTCCTAGTAATCTCCCGGATTATTAATATAGTACTCTAGTATAGCCTTAATCTAATTCTTATAAATAAGAGAGATATAATAAATAATTCTCTTTCTTTTAGTATTATTAGGAATATAATAGTTCTTATATATATCTATATACTATTTCAAGAATATAGAAATATTATTTCCTTAAAACTATAATATTTTAGGAGCTTCTATAAGTAGCAGGTTTAAACCCAATACTAGTATATACTTATTTTTAGCTATATTAATCTTAATAATTTCTTTTATAATTAATTATAGAGTTTCTATATCTAAGACTTTTACTAATAAGATTCCTAAAAAACTAACTTCCTATTTAAATATATCTTTTAGTTTAGGAACCGGAATTAGAAAGAAACTAATTAATAATAATAAATATAATCGAGGTTCGAGTTTTAATATTAGTAATAATAAGATAATAGCTTTTCTAGTTTTATTTCTATTATTTATACTTTCTTTCTTATTTCTTTAGCTTAATACCTATAGTATTTTCCCTTAATTTTACTAAACTAGATATATCTATTAATATTATTAAAGGTAATAATAAAAATAATAAATATAATTTTACTAATTTTTCTGACTTTTCTGAATTTTCTTTTCTTTCTTTACTTAGTATTTATTTCTTTCTCTAGAAGCTTCTTTAGTTTATCTATATAATTTCTTATTTCTAATTTCTTTTTAATTCTTATTTCCGATTCTAGTTTACTATTTTATTTAAATTTAAGAATATTTCCTTTTTTAGGTATCTTTTTCGGATTTAGAAGTAAGCTTTATTATTAAGATTAAAGCTATTTTAATTCCGGCTTTTACTATAACTAAAAATAATATATAAATTAATAGTATAACTTTATTTCCGAGTACTAAAGTCTAGTTCTAACTAAGGTCTAACTTATACTATTTTAATATAATATTTCTTATTTTATTTCCTTTATTTCTTTTTCTTTTATAATTAGCCTCTATTTCTATTATCTTTATATATTATACTAGTAACTATATCTTATAGCTAACCCGTATTCAAATTACTAGATATATTAGAAATTAATATAAAATACTAAGATTAATACTTATATATCCTTAATATTTTGGCCTTAGACTTAAGATATTATAATAGCCCTTTTCTTTCCTAACTTACTAAGCTAATAATTTGCCTTATAGATATTTCTTAGAACTTTATAAGAGTATTACCTTAACTATAAAGTTTCTATTCTCCCTATATTACTTATTATAAAATATATAGGAAAGAAACTATAATAAGATAAAAACCTATATAAAGTATACTAGAGTATAAAACATAACTTAGTAGTAAAATAATAAATTAAAAGTATAAATAGTAAAGTATAAATAATATATAGTATATAAAAGCTCAAATTAATTAAATACTTATAAAGAATTCTTCTCTAAGTCTATAGAAAAACCAGCTTTCTTATGTGATTTCCGCAAGTTATATATAAAAGGCCGCGGCCTTTATTATATAACCTAAACCTTAAAACCGCCAAAATAACATGATTTTTAATAAGTATAGCCTGCCATACTATAATAGGCTAAGCTCTTATTTTACTATTACTTTAAGCTTATATATTATTCTAGAAAATTAAATAAATGAGTAAATACTTTATTATAAAAATAAAATAAAGTAAATATTTAGGACTAAATTAAGGAAAAGCTATAAACCTAAATACTTCTTCCTAAAAATAAGATTAATTCGGAAATTATCTATAACTTATAACTTATAGTAATACTTTATAAAGTCGGCTTATTTAATCTGGAATTTGGTTTTAAAAACCAAATATATATTAAAGACTTTCCGAAAAAAAATACCCCTATTAGAAATATAATTTCTCTAAAGAAAAATATTCTCTTAGAAGCTTTACTAGTAAACTCTATTATAGTAGCCCTTATAGAAGTATTATTAGAAGCTCTTATTAAGTATAATAGTTTATAACTTATAAATAAGATCTTATAAAATAATTATATATTATCGGATCTAAAAAAGCTATATATAATAGCTTAAGCCGAAAATAATATCTAGATACTATAAGATAGCCTTCCTTTATACTATAGAAGACTTTATATTATAGAGAATAAAATAACTCCCGAATTACCTTTATAAACTACTTTAATTTATAAAATATATAATAAATTCCTTTCTGGATATCCTAGATATATAAAGCTTTATTAGCTATTAAAGAAGTAATATTACTAGCTATTTATAAGTAAAGATATTAATTAATACTATAATAATTACTATATTTATAAGAAATTATATATACCTAGAAATAAGAAGCCTGATTTACTTTATTTCTTTCTAGTTCCTAATTACTTCTAATAATATATTATTATAAATTTTAAGAGCTATCTAGAAAGCAAATTAGGCCATAATATAGTTATTATATTCGTAGATTACTTATTTAAGTACCTAATTACGATTTTAGTATAAGATATAATTATAGCCAAATAACTAGTATCTTTATTTTTATTTTATATAGTATATTAAATAAGTATTTCAGAAATAATTATATTAGATTAGGAACCCTAATTTATATCCGATTTTTAGAGCGAATTTTATACGAGAATTAATATAAAGCTCAAGTTCTTTATAGCTAATTATTCCTAAACAGATAAATAAACAGAGATTATTAATTAGTATTTTAATTAGAGATTATACCTATATATTAACTATTACTAGAATAACTAGAATAAATAGATTATTATAATTAATTATTAATAAGCCTCTCTTTAATACGAAACTATTAGCTAGTCTCTATTTATAACTAAAAAGGGCTACGAGCCTTATATTTCTCTAGACTAGAACTTTCTTATTAAAGCTAACTTACCTAAAAAGAAACTAAATAGAAATAAAGCTAAAGTATTAGTAAATTAATTATATAAATTATAGTAACTTGCCTAAGGCTATATAAAGCAAGTATAAAAATAATATATAATATAAGCTAATAAATACTACTATTTAATTAATTTTAAAGTAGGAAATAAAGTATAGGTTATTATAAAGTACTAGAAATCCAATTATTTGAGCCGGAAGCTAGGGAACTAAATAGAGGGCCTATTTGAGATTCTAGAATAATATAGCTACTTATTTCTCCTAAAACTGCCAGAAATCATAAAGATATACCTAATTTTCTATATAGAGAAGCTATAAAAAGATTCCTAGAATTCTTTACTAGATTAAGTAAATCCGGAACCGCCCTTATTAATACTAGAGAATAGTAAATAAGAATATGGCATTAAACGGGTTATTATAGTTAAGCTAGTAAGAAATAAGCTAAAGTATAGAATTTAGTAAATTAGTTAGGATAAAGATCTAGTATAATATCTAGCTTTAGTACTAAGTAATAGCCCCCTGGTTTTATAGAGTTTCCATAATAATAATATTAATATACTAGAACCTCTATAAAACCTATAATACTAGCTAGGCTATATAAAAAATAATACTTGTCCAGAACTATATAGAAATAATAATAAACCCTTCTAGGTTATATAGTAAAGGCACCGGCCTTTCACACGTGATATCTATATCCGAGATACTAGTTTTACTTTGGGAAGGAATATAGTACGAAATTAGATAGATTAATAGCTTTTATAAAGCTTGGGAACAAGCTTATTATAAAGAGGGAGGTAATATCACGATTTCCAGATACCCGGTATCTGAGATACCTCGCCAGATGCCAGATGCCTCCTAGGCATATGTAATATAGCCGCCTTACTAGAGAAATATGCTTGGAATATACTAGAGATATTTAGAAGGCTAAGCCCCTTCGGGACTAGTATACTATAGGGTGCATATATTCCCTCGCAGCCTCCTGTATTCTAGTTTTCCCTTCCTTAGCTTTAAATCGTCTTTATAAGAGACCTTCTATCTTGCTTTTTAAGCCCTAAATACTATACCCGTAATAATACTTTTCTTTATATTTTACTAAAGATTCAGGAATAAAGTAATCTCTAAACTATTATATCCCAATTATATTATCTATCTAACTATTATATATTATAGTAATATAAGAAAGGAAGTAGTATAATAATAATTACTAAAGCCAGGCCTTCTTATACTATATTCCTTTAAATATTATATAAGGCGCTATCTTATATCTATTAGTTAATATATATTTAATTACGGATATTTATTTGCAATTTCTATCTTATATATAATAGGACTTTCCCTTAAAGTATTTCTCTCGAGTAATAATAATCTTGGCCTTTATAATAATATCTTATATAAACCTTTTCTTATTTATATTATATATATCTGTAGGATTAATATTATAAATTATAACTAATATGGAAAACAGGTTGAAATATTATTGAAATACCGCAGGATCTTGAGCTATAGTATGCTCTTTATTTAAGGGAGGTACGAATTTCGATTTGAGTTCAGGGTGGCGTTCCAAAAAGTAAGCCTGCTAATTATATTCAAGTGGTTGATTATCCTCCTTTGCGAATAATATTTCAACTACTATTCTTTGTAAAGTCACTATTCTTCGTAAAGATTCGATCCTCGCAAGGAACCCCCAAGCTTCTAATTATTAGCACCAGTCCTTCAAAGCTAGCTCTTCCAAAACCGTAAGACGCTGCCGCTCTTGCGCCTCCTGAACCTTCGATTTGGCACCTTTGATTCTGTCCTGTAAGCTGGACTTGCCAATACTATATTCCCGAGCCAATTGTCTTTGTGATTTTGTGTTTTCTGGGTCTTCCTATTCGGAGTATGCATTATTGAGTCGTTGCGAAGTAGGAATATTGACTAATGAGAGGGTATCTTCGTCATCTGATATGGAGGGTGCTTGGTGAGGTATTGGAGGTTTGGTATGGATTTTGGCTGTTTTGCGCCCCGCAGGCTTCTTAGAAGCTTTCGTCATCGTGGATCAATGTCTCAAGAGAAGGATAAATGCGAATCACGGAAGGAATGCACCCAATTAAGGATAAAAATGGTGGTGTTGCTGATAAGGATCAAAAAATCAAAAAATCAGTAGTTTGGGGTGGCCGGTTGACCAGGGAACCCTTCTAACTGCATTGGAAGCGAATATGAAGAAATGTCGTCTGAGACTTCCACTAAAGTCATACTCAACTTTTTTTTTTTCGCTGATTCTGTTTTAGTGTTTGAACGTGAGCAGCTGCCGCCTTAACCTGAGCCGAGGGTAAGCATTCCTGAGCATGCCTGAGCTCGGCCTGAGCAACCTGAGCACACGGCAGATTCAGCCTGAGCATGCGCTAAGGGGCCATTTTAGCTCCCACAGGGACTTGTCCGGCTCTCTTAATGCTCGGTTACACTTTCCTCATTTTGTCTCCAAGTACGGATCCCATTTTGGCTCCCTTGCAACCGAGATTCTCCTGAGCCATTTTTAGATCTATATTCGCTTATATACACGTGATAAATATATTAGCCTCATTATTCCATAACGTCTCATTAATGTCTATAGGGGTGATTTTATATGATACGAATTTCGGTGGCATTCAATTTTCTCCTCTTTGCTTCTGTGACGAACCCAGTCTACTAGCCCTCTGGTGGTTTTCCTTACCTGTGGCGGGCACGGGTGTAGCGGATAATCAGAGGAGTAAGAGGTGGTTCTATTGAAGATCTAAAGCTAAGGAGAGAAGGAGAAGGAGAAGGGAAGCAGAGGCTACTAGGAAGCCCAGCTTATAGCTACGGGTCTGTTACACGCTAGGTTTGAAGCTGGACTGCTTACGGGCGGGCCGTAGCGGGCACGTGACCCGTAAGCCCCTAGGGATCTGGGCATCTGGGCCAGTCCGTGACATTAAGCGAGAAACACGGGGTAATCTAGGTAATTTATAACCTTAGTAAGCAGGGAAGGCTTCTCTTAAAAAGCAACGTAGTAATACCCAGAACTAAAGAAATCCCCAAAATGTAAATTCTAAAGCACAAATGCGAACAAAATATTTATATAGAGACGAAAACTCAATCTTGAAAATACCGGGTCATCCTTTACATCCCCCTTTATAGTATATGTTAAAGCATGTGTCCGAACCTTCAAGATCTAGCATTTTCCCTTGCTAATCTTACCTTCACAAAAGGTAATGGAAGCCATTTTTACAGGTCCTATGGAAGTAGTCGAATCTGTTTTGCAGGACGTGTGAGAACCCTTGTCGAGAGAACTTCGAGTCTCGAGGAAATCTGAAGTCCGTCTCGGTTCTTTATCGCTCAAGTCAATCTCTGACGCTGGCGAACGAAGAGAAATCCTTCTCCCATGCTGTGAGCGATCCATGTGCAAAGAAGGAAGAGAAGGTGGAGCTTCACTCCGTTTGTGGCCGACCGTTGCCAAACAGAGAATACCACAACCAAATTCTGCATCGACTGGCTTTTGAAAAGAATATGGATAATTAATAACCTCTTGAGGTTTCCATGCATCGATATTGGAATGGTCGTCGAAGCGACACGCACCTCCCGTCTCAATTTTGCCAGGGTATATCTCTTTACTCCTTTTATACTGGAAATAATCCTAACCAAGAGATGGATATTCGGGGAACACGGCTTTCTAATTAAGTAATCTATAGTGACTTTCTATAGAAACGAATCCCAAAAAGTACAAGTGTCTGAGAGATAAGCCTAATAAAGCAATTTGGTATATGGGTAACAGTATATCTAGTATAATAGTCCAAGATTTATTATATAATACTACTTGTATTAAATTTAAGGCTTAGTTCCTTAGATTATAAATCTGGTATTTTTATATAAAGATTACTAAGTAAAAAGCTCTATTAATGTTTTTAGCCTCGAGACTTTACTCAAAAGTATATAACCAAATAAGGAAGTCTTTAAATATAGACAGAGTTATATCTGGAAGTATAATTCCCCTAGCCGAACCTTTTTAAGTAATAGGAAACTTTAATCTTTGAAATATTATTAAATAATAGACAAGAAGATTATAGGAGACCTGAAAGATAAAAGCGCTAACCAGGATTATAGCTTGCTTGCTTTATATTAATCTATTTAGTTAGTAAGAAATACCGTAAAATAAGAATAGAATTTTACTTTAAATAACTTACTTAATATATAAGAAATATTAAAGTTTTAATTCTCTAGATACTGAAATCGTATTAGGAACTACTAGTAAAGGAACCGGATTAAGAAGTATTAGTTCTAGAACTCGAGTTAGTAATATAGATTCTAAAGTAGGAAAAGAATATACTAGTATTAGAAGTGAAATAAGAACTACTAGTTCCGGAATAATACCTATAGATTTCTATTTATTATTAAATTAGTTTATAAGATTATTAATAATAAGATAAGCCAGAATAATATAAAAAACTCTCGAACTAGAACTATTTCCTATAATATATCTAAAAAGATCTCTATTTAATATATTAATAACTTATATTCTATAATTATTATTAGAAATCTTAGTATTATATTTTATAGTCTATATTTCTTATATAAGATTTCTATTAGATAATATTAAAAATAATAGAATTCCGGATAGTTTTTCTTTTAATAAATATTCAAATCTAATTATAGTAATAATATCTATATTTTTTAGCTTATATATTATAACTTTATTTATATCTAGATTTAAGAATTAGTTAAGTTTTAGCGAGATCTATTTGAATTTAAGAAGCTTATTTGCTTTAATCTTAATAAGATAGTAATCTAAATCCGATTAATAGTTAGTTATTTAAAAAATATAATACTTTCTAATAAATAAAAGCAAGTTATTAAACTTTACTAGTAGTCTATTTATTATTAAATTTAGTTCTAGAAATATATTTCTGCCTGAAATAATAATTATATTATTTATAGCTAAAGATATTATAGAACTTTATTTAGATTCTAAAGTTATATCCGAGAATATTATTACTAATATAGTTAAGTTAGATACTTTAAATATTATATCCGAGAATATTTTTCCTGAAATAATTAAATTAGATAATTTAAATAATATAATATTATAATTATAGCTATTTAAATATTTTATATTATTAATTTCTTTATTTTTATTATTAAATTCGAATTTAATATTATATATCTTAGAAGAAGTTAAAAATATATTTATATTATTTTTATAGAAAGTATATATTACTATTATTAAGAAAGTTAATTCTTAATAGAAAATAAAACTACTATTTATAACTAGTTATAATAATAAGAAGTTATTATAGAAACCTCAGATAAATATTTTTATTTTAGATCTAGTATCTAAAAGAAAATAAAGAATTACTTTATTAATACTTATAGAAACTCTAACATATATTTATTAGTAATCTTTAATACTATTTATAAAATTCCAAAACTCTTTATTATAGTTAAAAGTTATAATATATTTACTATTATAAAGTATTTATATTTTAATTCTGGTTTCTAAAAAGAATTATTATATTATTCTTATATCTTTTTCTAGAAGCTCAGAATATAGCTAAATAGTATATCTATATTATTTATAGTATTTGCGGCTTTTATTTCTAAAAAAAGTATTAAAACTTCTTTATAAGACTACCTATTTAAAAGACAGAATATTTGTTTATAATTCTATTATTTTTAATTAACTTTTCAATTTTAGTAAAAGCTTTCTTATCTCTTCTATAAAATATTATAATAGGTACTAATTCTTATTAATTATAGCTAATTATATATATTATCTAAATTACAGGATTTACTATAGGCTTATTATACTTTTTGAGATAGGCTTTAATTTCTAAGATAATTTCCTTAAACTTTTATTAAATATTACTAATAGCTTCCTAATACTTCTTATAGTCTAGCTTAATATTCTTATAGAGCTTACTAGTTAATTCTTCTAGATTAGGCTATTTTTTTAATAACTTCTCAAGTTTTAGTATTATAAATCTTGTTTTATTATATAAAGTTATTTAGAAATAGCTTTAGAATAATAAAAAGTTAATTTAAGTACTTTTTAATAGTAACTATTAACTCTTGAAATAAACTTTAATAAAAGTAGCTTTATTCTAGAAGAGCTTTATAAGACAGATATACTAAAAAATAGAATTAATTATAATAAGATATAATAGAAGTATTTATAAGAAAATAATAAAATTTAAGTTAAAGTTTTTAATTTTAGAAGTTAATATAATTAGAATAATTATATAATATAAGAATTATAGCTAAATAAGACTAGATAATACATTTTTTTATTATAAGTTAGTATTTTATTATTAGTAATAATTAAAGTAAAGCTAATTTTCTTTAGTAAATTAAATTTAATATACTAATTATAAATTATTATTTCTATATATAAGCCGAGTAAGATAATAGTATCTAATATAGATTTTAGCCTCGAATTTTACTACCTGAAATTACTTTATATAAATATAAGATATAATATATATTTTTAATTATTAATAACTTTTCTATATTTAGTATAGCTTTACTATTTATAGCTCTAAAAGCTATAAGAATTTCTCTCTAGTTATTTCTAATATATTATATTATAAAATATAATATTATTAATAGTTTTTAAAGGCTAAGTATTTAGCTATTAGATATATTATCTAGTAATATTAATTATAACTTATATTTTTTATATTATTATAAATAATATAATTTTGCTTTATATAATAGAAAAAGATATATCTTTATAAAGTTATATTAAGATATTATTAAAATAGTAAAATAGATTAGATTTTATATTAATTATAAAAATATTATACTTTAGCTAAATTTAAAGCTTCTTTTTCTAAAACTTAAAAATAATAAAAAAACGAATTAATA